GGGGGGGGGGGCATTCAAAAGGATCCAATTTTGTTTATTTTAAAAATAAATTAAAACAAAAACAAAATTAAAAATAAAGAGATACAGTTAACGAAGGCATTAACCCAGCATTAGAGCCAAGCTATAATAATAATAATAATAATAAAAGGTTCTTATTTATGAACACTTAAACAATACACTTTTTTGTATATCTCCACCGTAAAACACAAATGATTTCTCTATTTTAATGTGCTTTATATAAAATTAGGCTTTTCTTCTCCAGAATATATTATTTAGAAATTAGTCAATAACATTCGTCATGATAAAATTATTTGTTTTTTTAATATTGAAGCTTAACAGAAGAAACAAAAAAGATTGACAATTTGTTTGCCATTCCGGAAGCCAAAGTTGACGAGCTCTTGGTTATTTGAAAGTGATCGGCATTAAGGCTAAAACAATGTTTATTTAAAAAAAATTAAAAAAAAAATTATTTTTTATATTTTATTATCATTTTATTATACTAATATGAAAAATAAATTTTAAAAAATATTATTTCAATATATTTCTAAACAGAAATATACTGTAAAATATAATTTCTACCATTCACTTAATTATTCTCTCAAAATATTTTTTAGCCCAGTAATAGGCATGAAACCCGTACTTATTAACTGAAATTCCAGCACAGAACAAGAGCCTCCTCACTTGCAATTTGGTTTATCGCTTAAATGCAATTCAAATTTCATGTGCTCCAAAACATTATTATTAAACAAAACCTCGTGGACTGACCGTTAATTTGAAGTCTTATCTGAGTTAAGATATATTTTGAATTGTTATTAATATTGACTTAACTAAATTTATATGACAAGTTAAGCTATATTTTGAATTGTTTTTAAAATTGACCTAAACAAACTTATGTGACTCAATTTAATATATGACTTAGTTTACCTAGTTAAGCATCATCCAAACTTAGTCTAAATTCAACAAGGTCAAAACTAAAGAATTTTTTTTAAAAAAAAATTAAAACAATAGTGGAAATAAAATGATATATTTAGATTAACTTATTAATCTAGCAATTAGAGCTCGCAACCTGGTTAATCCAACCAAACCCAATCAAGTTGCAATAGAAATGAAAATAATAAACATATTTTGCATTCAAAGTTGGGGTAGAAATCTCAATCTAAAACTGTGTCGATAAGAAATCAAAAAACAATTAAAAATAATAAATAATTAAAAGATTCTAATTTAGCATGTTAAATGAATTGAACAAGATAGGAGCTGATTTTATGATAATAAAAGACAAAGATCATGAAGCTATCATTGGAATAAATTCTAAACACAGGTGCAAAGATCTAGGGGCATCATGATATTTCACTCTATACTAAAAGACATCATACTTTCATTATATAAATCTACAATTAAAGATTAATTTTACCTCCTGGTATGCAAAATAACATGCCTCAAGTCTAGATGTATCATGGTACTTTTCATGAAACATATTGGTCATTACTTGAAAAAAAAAGGTTAGACACTATTTTTTGTGTTTTCTTTGCATAATGTAATTACTTAATTACTCTTAAAAACAAAGATCACTTGGGTTTGAGAGAGAGGCTTTTTAGCTTTTAACTTTATTTTTAAATAAAGAAGATACTTCATTACTCTTGAAAATTAAAAACAATTGTTTTTTACTTGGGGGCTTTTTTCTTGTCATTATATGGTCATTTAGTAGTTATTAGATGTTATTAGGGCAATAAGGTGATTTGATAAATAAAAAATTCAAAAAAGAACAAAAATATTATTAACAGTGTCAGTCGGCTTCTAACAGCACGTGTGATGCCGTCTGATGACCAAAACCATGATTCTAGAGCGACTTCCAAAATGTCTTGGTATCGTCTCCACACATCAATGATGCATGTAGCACTATAGCGATTGTGTGGCATGTATATCCTTTTGTTTTTTCCTCTTCTCCTATTAAATTTGCTTCAATATTCTCTTTATTATAATTTTTAAAATTTAGATTACTTTATGAAATTAAAGATTTTTTTTTAATTTCATCCCTTTTTTGTTGTAATTTTTTTTATTTAGAATAGTTTATTGAATTAATAATTATTTTCAATTTCATCCCTAATCAATATTTTCATCTATCAAATTTAGTTTTTATTCTTTTAATTACTATTTTTTATATGGTTTTTTTTGTGCAGTTTCTTCTTTCTTTAGTTTTTTTCCTTGTCAATTATAATCCTTTTTTTAATATTGTATTTTTTTACCTTGCAAGATTTTTGTAGATTTTTTTTTATTTCATCCTCCAACATTTAATTAGACAGGTGTTTAACTTCTTAGTTGAATTCGGGTCTAAATTTAATAGTTTGTGAATTTAAGAAATTAACTCCTATTTCTAAGTTGACACGAGTTTTTTTGGTTGTTTTTTTCTTTTTTAGCTTATTTTTCTCATCCTCTAGCATTTTGTTATTTTTAACTCACTTTCTATGGTATTTTTAAGTCGTTTTGAAAATAATATACATTACCTTCTTCTTCTTTTTTGTTGAATCTAGCTATTATAAAGGGACTTTGTTTTTAAAATAATATACATAATATTTAATTCTTTAGGTGTTGAGTTCTTGGATTGAGTCTTGGTCAAGAATTTAACGGATTGCGGAAATGAGTATTTAATCCGGGTTAACAAATTTACTCGGGTTTGCTTGATTTTTTTAAGCTTTTTTATATCATATTTCGTTCTTTAACATTTTTTTTTTATTTTCTTTCTATAGGATTTATCTTTTCTTTTAAAATAACAAAGGTAGTCTTTTTTTTTATCTTTGTTAATTTTTTCTTTTTTAAAAGAATTTTTTTTAATTAAATTAAATTTATTGATTTTATCCTATCATTTAATTTGAGGCAATAGGTGAAGAAATTTTGTTTTGTAATTAATTATTTTGAAAATTAGTATTCTTTTTTTTAACTT